AAAAAAAAAAAAAAAAAAAGAAAAAAATTATGTTTAAAAATAGAGACGAGGTCTCACTATGGTGTCTAGGTTGTCTTTGAACTCCTGGGCTCGAGTGATCGCCTGCTGCAGCCTCCCAAAGTGCTAGGATTACAGTTGTGAGCCACAACGCCTGGTCAGTCAAGTCCCCTACCTTCTTTGTGTTTATTTGGAGGCCTGAACCCCCCTCCTCCATGAGATACTGCAAGGAACGAATGCCATTCCTCTCTAGGACACAAGCACCTAGCACGGCCCTAGCACAGAGCAGCTACTTAGTACGTTTGCAGAAATGGGAAAAGCCAACGGGGGGACAGGATGCCTCCTGAAGCTTCTGCATTTCTCCCACTTATCACTGTTGAAAATGTTTCACAAGCCTGGCCAGAGGCTCAGGGGCAGACGGGGACGTACCGGACAGAGCCTCTGCCCACGCTCATCCCGCCACCATTCCACAAACCTACACCTGCCACCCAGGACGCAACAGACCACGTGGCCACCGCAGCCTCAATGGGAGCACGGCTTGCCTTCTCATCCTGGTACAGCTTGTTGACACTCTCCAGCTGGAAGTTGTGGCTGGACTGGATCTTGTCGAGCTGCTCCCGCTGCTTTTCCAGCTCCCCCTGGAACTCATTCTTCTTCAGCTCCACCGCGCCCCTCTCCGCAGCCGCCCTGCGGACCCTGCCTTCCAGCTCCACGATCCTCGTCTGCAAGGACACCCAGCGTCAGACTCGCCGGCCTGAGCGCCCACCACGAAAACCACACCTGACCTCATGCACATGTGGTGCGCCCAGTGCTTCGTGGTGCGGGTCGACCATACAGAAGCGAGAACAGGATTTGCTGGAGAAGTGTGCTGTGGGGGAAGGAATGCAGAGGGAGCTGACTACCACTCCCTGGCTGGCTCCTGTGACAAGCGCACAGAACTGTCCCGTGCTTTACCTGGCATGAGGTGGAGCTCAAATGTGGACTTCCTCCTCCCTTCTAACACGGCACTTAACAACTCTTTATCAGACAAAATGTCTGGAAACAGATTCTGTTCTCCAACTCCAGACGTCCAGAGCTCATGTGCTCGGAGAACAGGACTTTGGTGCACATTCAGACACCAGGACGATGAGCCTGGGTGGCAGGCATGGGCAGGACAAGGCACACACAGAGCTCAGGTGGGGCGGGGTACCAGGCACCTCTCTGTGCCTCGGTTTGCCCACCTGTGAGAGGGGGAAAGTGAAGTCCCAAGCTCGCAGGGTTTGTGCACAAAATAAGATCATTTGTATAAACCGCTGTTACAGGAAAATCGTTCTAACACTTATTAAAATGGTAACTAAGACTTGCTCCCAAGACTGCCACAATAAGGGGGAGAAACTATGCTCAACTCGGAACACAAGAAGGACAGCTGGGGATTCACAGCCGACGAGCAGAGTGAGGGAGTCTAGGAGGAGGGGACTCTTGCTAAACAAGGCAGACCCAGGACTCAGACATCGAAGGTGGGGATAAGGACCTTCGTCAGACATCAAGGATGCAAAGACGACTTGGTAGGATTCTTTGCTAAAGACCCGGACGGGCAGGCCAAAGACGGGGTGGGGCTTGTGGGCTGAGACAGAGGCCTAGCCGAGAAGAAGGCTCGGAGAGCCTGACTAAGATAGGGTCAGGAAGGGAGTCTTTGGCACTGCTTGGCACTGTGCCTGACCCATGACTGGCAACAATACGTGGGAAAGCTAAAATTATTATCATTAAACGGTAACGATGAAGACTGGCGCCTTTAAAAGTACATTTCTTCTACTGAACATTCCTTTTGGGGGCTCAAGATTTGTGGAACAATAAATGTCATTTAATGCCATGTGCTATTTTGAATTCCTCATCAGGCTTGAGAAGTGGGATAAAAATACTTACAAGCTCACCAAACTTGAAATTATACTGAGTGACATTGATGTGAGTCTGTCCCAGTGAAACAGGTTAAATAAATTATGGCACCAGTACATTTGTTACTTTTTTAATAGTAAGATGTATACATTTCAGTATAATAAATGTTTTCCAATTGTTTTGCAATAAATAAATAAAAATGCATTTCTTATACCCAGCATCCAAACGTACCACTAGTACAGCCCTCTGATATCTCATGTGGACAGTGGACCAAGCAAGCTGTCTTTTCAGAGCCCCCTCAAATGGCCCAGGTGAAAGCCCTCAACTCGCAGGAAAAGCAGGGAGGGCTATTTCAACAGCAAGTCTAATGAGCACCAAGGGGTCCTCTCCCAACCAAAGCACAGCTGGTTTGGAGTACAGCCTAGGGCTGCGGGGGAAGATGGGCCCTAGACTTGCGTCACGGCATGTGCGCTGAGCACAATGCCTTTGCTGACCATCAACAGCCAAAGCCCTGGACTCCAGTGCCAGCAACTTTAAATACTCCACGGCATTTCCGCAAAAGAAATAAACAGAGCACCTGGAGATCCACGCTCCGGGAGCTGGCAATCCAGTAGTTGAAGCCCAGGACGATGATACAGGCCACCAGCGCAGCCAGCACAAGGGGCGGCGACTTCATGCTGCGACGCCCGTTTCCCAGTCCCATCATCTCAAAACCTGGGGTGAGAACCTGCCAAATAAGAGCAAACACACACATCTCAATAGGAGTTTTACCAGCCCCAAAGCAGGTTGCGTGATCAGCCCAACCAGCAGGGAAGGCATCCTGCCACGAAGCACACACCAGCGTCTTCCCCTCGACATGAGAAGAGCGTGGGCAGTACCCAGAGTCTGCGGTTCCATGTACCCTGGGTAGTGCGGCAGCTCCTAGGACAGGCTTGGAGAGTGAGTGCTGGCCCTGCCCTAGCTCAAGCCTTGGGCAAGGAACGATCATTGTACACTTCAGATTCCTCATCTGCAAAGTGGGTATCATCCCAGTAGTACTCACAGCCCCAACAGTTGGAAAATTAAACTAATCATTTCTGGAAGCAGCAGTGTTTGAGAATGAATCACCTCTGCCAACAGCAATAGCAAATAGTAGGTGCTTCTCTATCCCATAAGAAAGAACACCTTCCTCATTATTCCCCAGAGAGGACTTTGTGATTTGATTTCAAACAAGGGAGTTGCTTTTTTTTAACCCATTGACAGAATTACTAATGACACCGGATGAAAGCGTTTCTTGAGCAAATCAGGACACTTGAGCACAGACGACTATGGATTCCCACACATAAGTCACTGTCAGGCAAGACTCAGGCAGCAGATGTGTCGCCTCTCTCATGACACACGAGGGAACAGGAGGTGTGCAATCGGGCCAAAGTTGCTGGGAAGAATGTATTTTAGGATTTTAGGATTCTGGGTGGAAACGAGGCATTCTCTCCCAAACCAGAGCACCTAGTCCTTCACATCTTCACTCCTGTCCCTTCAAGGACCCGGTTTGTGCAACTGCAGCACTGTGTGCCTTGCGTTAGGAAAGACAGCACCTTGGTGAGCCAGAATGCACAAAGACACGACTTAGAAGAGATGCTGTCAGTTCCGTTCACAGGCTTTGACTCAAGACCAGGTCTGGCTGGATGCAAGTCCGGTCGCCAAGAACAAGGAAAGGTGACTTTTCCAAATGGCTTTTGCTGAGCCGGATAAAACAGGACCTTATCAGAGTGAAGGCAGCTGCACTGCAACAAACCGTCTGAGAACAGAGAGCCTCTTATGCCAGGTGTGGCCAGTACGGGGGCGGGGAGTAGTGGGGAGGAGGTGGCCGGAGGAAGGGGAGCGGAGGGAAAACCACCAGGGACTCACCTGCAAGGCAAAATTCTCACGGCTGAGAACACACGCGAGCTGAGCCTCACCCTATGGTCTTTCCAGGGGTGCCATCAAAGGCGCCTTCTTCCTGAATAGCTAACCGCTAGTGTAGAGACCTGCATGGGGACAGATAAGCAATCCCGTGGAATCAACTAAAATAAAGCACCACCAGGCCTACCACAGGGGCAACTGATGACCGAGTTTTACCTCCACTCATGGCTCACTCACCAGCCTCTGATCTCTCCATTTGAGAGAGGAAAACAAGGTTTTAATGCAGTCATCAGCTGATATAGACGAGCGCTGAATATACTAAAGGAGAAAAATACTCAGGAACACTAAACCTCTAGAACATTCTACAGATCTGCTGAAATTGTGTCTCCACCGCCCAATCACATCTGATTTTGGTCACAAAACTCCTCTGAACCTGTTTTTAAAACATAAAAGTAAGCCGGCTCGGTGGCTCAGCCTGTAATCCCGGATTACAGGCTGAGCCACCGAGCCCGGCTTGGGACAGTATTTTCTAATGCCCGAATCCTTCTATCCCAGCCTTCCTAAACCTCACAGAGCGTTGATGTCACTAGGGCCACTTTCTTAGGAAACCAACACCAGGCCCCTGCCCTGCAATTCTAATTCAATGGGTTTAGGGCAAGGTCCAGAAGTGGGTGTTTTTAAAATCTCCCCAGGTGATTCAAATATGCAGCTGCTATTGTGGATGTTTCTGGATGTCACTCTAGATGTTTACTGATGCATATGCAAGCATCAGTCTAAGCATTTTTAGGCCAAACATGGCCACACCATTCATGATGTCCCACAGATGCTGTGTATCTCTTAGCCACACATCTTGCACCCTTCCAAGTAGCCCATTGTGGTTTGCTCCATTCTTTTTAAAGGGCTGAACAAGACACCACTGTGGACCAGGGCTGACTTGACCAATCGTCAACAGATATATTCAGGGTCTTCCAGGCCTATTTCCAACAACGTTACCATGAACACCCTTACATGGTTGTCCCTCATCCTTCACTGGGGATTGGGTCCAGGCAGGACTCCTTGGGGACACCAAAACCCTCAGCTGCTGATGAGGGAGGAATGAGTGGCGGTGAGACTCGGTCATCAGTTGCCCCCGTGGTAGGCCTGGTGGTGATATAAATGGTGTAGTATTTGCATATAACCTACACATACTCTCCTTTGTACTTTAAGTCATCTCTAGGTGAGTTATAATACTTAATACCGTAGAAATACTGAGTAAACAGTTGTTCTAACGGGTTGTTTAGGGAATCATGACAACAGTCTGTCCATGTGCAGTGTGGATGCAACCATATGCCTAACTACAATCTCGAACCACAACTGGCTGAACCTGCAGGTGTGGAACCCGTGGATACAGAGGCCTGGCTGTACAACCATCTCTGTGTTTACAAACTCTTATCTATGTGCACAGTCCAGCACCCGCAATTCTGAAGTCCAAAATGCTCTAGAAACCCAAAGCAATTTTTAAAAACTCTGACAGCAACAAAGCCTGACCTGAACTTCGGATTGAGGTCTGACCAGAACTCACCAGAAGCTAATTATACTCTTTATCACTCTCCCTTCTTGTGAATATTCACACATTTCACTGCCAAAAGATCAGTGTTTGATTACAGGGTGCTGTCCCAGATCCCACCTGGGCTGTCACATTAAGATAATAAACACACCATAATATCTTCTGAATTCTGAAAAAAACCCGAAGTCCAAACCCATCTGGCCTGAAAGGGGAAGGAAGGGTGAACCAGCAAAGAGCTCGCTCACTGTCTGTGAGGCGGTGCTCCACAGAGGGGCTCCCACAAGCTCGGAGTGACATTATCACCCCCATTTTGCAAGAGATGAACTAAATCAGACAGCTGTGGATGAATTTCTGTAAGTGGGCCAAAAAAATGTATGAGGGGGGACCTAAAGAAACCTGGAATTATCTCTTTTTTTTTTTTTTGGAGGGTAGGCCCCTTGTAGTACGGGCTTCCTCAACTAGGTAAGTGTTCTAGAAACCCATCAGTTTTTATCAGGAAGTTTTGAGAAGGATGCCTCACGATTTGCGGAAGAAACGTCCTGAGCTGTGACAAACAGGTGACTGGTTCTTCCACCACGATAACACACCTGCCCATACCGTGCTGAGTGTCCAACGGTTTCTGACCAGAAATGGCATGGCCCCTGTGCCTTACCCCATTCACCTGATCTCACTCCAAGCAACTTTTTTTGTGCCCCCAGATGAAAAAAGTCCTCAAAGGGAAACATTTTGCTGATGTGAAAGAGGTGAAACAAACAAACAAAGAATGGTAGAAGCACTAAAAGGCATCCAAATTGACAAACTAAAAAACTGCTTCAAGCAGTGGAAAAACCATCTCAATAGGTATATTCCATCAAAGAGTACTCTGAAGGTGGCTGAAGCTTAAACATGTAAGAAAAAATACACAATTTTTAATAAATAAATTGCCTTTGGGGGGGGATTCTCCCTCATATACTTTTAGGCCAGGTGCAGTGACACACATTTGTATTCACAGCACTTTGAGAGGCTGAGGAAGGAGGATTGCTTGAGCCCAAGAGTTAAAGATCAGCCTGGGTAACATAGAGACCTTGTCTCTACAAAAAAATAAATAAATAAAAAAAAAAATTAGCCAG